TATGCACCACCACGTAAGCCTGGATGCCGGTGGACCATGACAATAGCCACTCCAATGTACCAACCAATGTGGGGGTTGCACCTATAAAATCGGCATCATCTAGTCCGTCCGAAACAGCTTCCCTAGGAATAAGCAGTATATTTGACATTGCCCCAGTTCAGCCTTTAGGTGACATCTCAGAATCATATTAAAATTTCCCCCACTAACAGTGGCAGTTCAGGCTCCAGGAACTTTGCCCAGCCACTGGGTGGACGGTATAGAGACAATGATCCTGTGGATACCATGCCTATAAGCGCTAAAATCACTGTCGGGCATAAAGTACTGCAAAACGGACCATAAGCGCCACAATACAACACGCCGCTTGCTTCCCAGATAGGTAGTAAAACTAACGGCCAACCACGCGGTAAGCCCTACATGCCCAAGGCTGCGGCAAATGTTGTTGGATCAGAACCAAAATCTTAAGGGATGCATACAAAAAATAGCTGTAGTTAAAGTTATCAAAGAAAACAGTTTGCAACAATATTCCGAATGACGCCAGACGAAAACCAAAGGGCATCTCTACACAAATCATTTACAAATGGCTCGACCGCTTCATCCAAGATCAGGGCTATCCCAATTAGTACAGGGGTTCTTGATCCCCCAACCCATTGTGCGCCCATTCCTTCTCCTCTCATTCCGTTCTCCATGGGCACAGGTGCTTGTCTTTGCCATGTTGGTAACTACAGTAGCAAGACTGCACCTTCTCATGTAATCTCTCTCTCTCACAACCCGTACCACATTTTGAGTACCCATTCAGTCATATAGTCAACCACCGCAATATGTTTCTACCCTTGGAGAACCATTATAAACATGCGGCTGACATGCACTTGCTTTTTTCGTGAATCCGCCGCCTCACCCGGGACCCTTCCTACCTCTCCTCTTCCCGACGCCTATCAATCAGTTATTGGGGATGCAGAATACACCACATGGTTCTTCAAGCCCTGTATACTGCCACAAACATCCTCACTCATGTATAATAAGCCCAGTTCCCACTCCCGCCACGCATCAACAGACTATGCTTCATCATCCGTGGCCTGCACCACGGTTTCTGTAAGTCGCACCCCATACAGTGGCTCAAGGTCCCATAGATCCTTTAGCACAGGAAACGATGAATACAACCAAAATGAGCGTGAGCTTGCCTCTCAACAATCTTCAGAAAATACACTATTAGATAATTCTAACCCCGGCAGGCTGACGTTAGAGGCAGCAAGCTTTCTATCCCAAAATGATGTAGTTAACCTTCTTCTAACGAATGCTCGATCGCTGGTGAACAAGATGCATCACCTACGTCCCTTATTATCCTTCTCTCGACTACATGTTGTGCTTGTAACGGAAACATGGTTTGGTTCGCAGTGCACAGAGCTACTTGTGTTTGGCTTCATGACTTTTTCCAGTGGTCATCTTAGTGGTCGAGGTGACGGTTGCGTTGTGTACGTTAATGATGCTTTAGAGGCGAGTAGATTGGAGGATCCTTCGTCAGGCAGCTCCAAAGAATCGGTCTGGATACAGGTTAAGATTAAACCCTGTCGTTTTTTTGTTGGTTGCATTCACTGACCAGACGGCGCTACCATAGCCAAATTAAATTACTTGACTGAATTGTTCGAATAGGCATCTGAGATGCCGTTCTTTCAAAAAATTTATAGGTGGCGACCTTAACATGTCCGGTGTTTCGTGGCAGGAACGAACAGCACCCGCTAAGTATCGGAATTTTCTTTCGTCAGTAGTTACTCGTGGATGGACACAGAAGTATGCTCTCCTACTAGAGGCAATAACATTCTAGACTTGTATTGCACGTTTGGCGTTTCCTGGGAGCGATCATAAGATTAGCCAAGTAACCTTCAAGGTTGCCCAAATAACGGCAACGAACCCTCCCTATGCCCAGGAATATCGACCATATCACAAAATGGACTGTAACAGCTTCCGCCTAACTATCAGATCCCTTGAGTGGGATGGCCTTTTCCTTATAGACTGTCCAGATATCTCCGTTGACGAGTTCTACCAACATCAGACTTACTGCACCGACGTGCTTGTACCACTGCAAGAGAGAAAGCAGCCAATGCATCGTCCTCAAAATACATCCCTACATCTGTTGCGGTGCGTCTAAAACGCTTGCGCTTTAGGTTCAAGTAAATGAATGATTTATATGAGATCATAGAAAGTGATAAAATTCTCAAGGATTTGCAAGGCCAACTTGAAAAAGCTTATGTCACAAGAGCCAAAGCGCTAGCAGGTCCCAGCTTTAAACACATGTTACATGGCATAATAAGTCAGATACGAAGCACAACGTCATCAACCTATAACCAGTACCTCATCAGACGGCAGTCTCACAACCGACTCCGATGAGCTCTGTGAGTTATTTAATGAACATTTCTCCTCCTCGTTTAATACAGGTGCCTGTGTTGCACAAGAAAGATTGCCTCTACTCACCAGTGAAACAACAAATAGAGTTGAGTTCAACCTGTATCCTATTAGCAGGCAAATAGCCACCCTAAAGCATTCTTTTCACCTTGAACCTGACAGCATACCACCAGCATTCATTAAACTCGCCGGGCCCGATATTCCCCCGTTCCTGCTAAACATATTCACTTTGTGAATTAAGACTGGTGTATACCCAGTTAAGTGGAAGCGGGCCACCGTCCTACCCCGACACAAATGGGGATCAGGTCACAAGTTATCAAATTACCGCCCCATTAGCCACACTTCCATATCGAATCGTATTATGGAAAGAAGAATCAGAGAAAGAGTCATGGAGTTTCTTAACTCACAAAATCTGATGGACAGATCGCAACATGGATTCATCCGCGGTCGTTCATGACAAACTGGCCAATTTGGAATTCTGGACTGCGTAACAAAGTCGGCAGACTCTGGGCAGTCGATGGTTATTCTCTTCTTAGACATGGAAAAAGCATTCGAACACGTACTGCATGCAGAAGTTTTAACAAGGTTAATCTCTTATAGGTTTGCTAAGCCATTACTAGCATGGCTGTCATCTTTCTTGTCTACACGCACCCAATGTGTTAGAGTGGGAAACTGCGTATCGTCAACTATACCAGTAATCAGCGGCGTCATACAGGGAAGTCCGTATTGTTAGATGTCCCAAAAGAACTACTAGGGAAATTACAAGAATGCTTGCCAAATTTTATGTATCCCTTGCAAACCGATGTCTATATTTTTGGATTATTCTTGCCAGATATTTACGCTTTAATTAATTTTACTGGTAATCATTTTACAGTCGTTTCTTACCCGCTTTAATACTGTTGTTCATTTTATTTCCTCCCTGAGTCCACTAGGAACTGGGACTTCTGAATATGTTTTAATCGATCAATGAAGTTAAATTGCGCGCCAGCGGGAGTTTGGAAGACAGGCTCATCTACGAAAGTCCCATCTCCGTCTTCCGGTCAGACTGCGCTGGTTCAGATCGACGGGACATGTGTTATCGGAGGATATAACTTCAGCACAGTCTTCTGCACTTCACCCTGAAGAACGTGCATGTGTAAAGCTGACATGGATATAACATAATGCATATTCCCATCTTTTAGGTAGAGGGGATTAAATGAAAAAAGCTGTAAATATGTTGATTTTTCCCTATGTAGGAAAAGTCGCTCGCATTGTCGAGAAATAAAAGATTTATTTATTTATTTATATGGGCTGAAGTAGAGTCGAAGCAAAAGATGATGGAGAATAGCAAAAGCAACCCACCCTTAAGGGTGTGTAAAGAGATCTTATCCAATAAACCGGTAAAGCTGAGATAGCTTCCGAGGCAAACGAACCTGTCTACCAGGACAAAGGATGATCCAAAATGGCAAGACTAGGACCAGCTACTAGGCACTCCTGCAGGAAGACGTTGCAGTTCGATGGGGGCAAAAATCATTCCAAACTGAGACACAGACACGTCCAACATACGCAGTACAAATGTACTGGACAGACTGCGAAGCATCTCAAAGTATGATGATGTACCCTGCATACTCCAAATCAAGAAGTCAGTAATCGGAAGTAGCTTGACGCCGCTGGGTTCGCGGTTGTTTAGAGCACTCGCTGGGATGGCATCCATAGCAAAGGTGAACAAGAAAAGTGGGGACAATGTCCATCGCGTAAACAACTGATGGTCGACTTCCTCGGTTGTGTACAAAATTCGATTTTTATAACGGTAGCGTACCACCTTTCAATATTAACATTAACAGCAAAATGCACGTACGCTAGGGGCGAGAAAAGCTTAGGCTCAATATCTGGAGTGCTGCAATGCAAGTGAATCGCGTGACCGTAAAAAAAGCAATGTAGTACACATTTGCCAGTATCCAGAAATGGACTTGAGACCGGTTGTGAATCAATAAGTTTGGAAGATTTCGAGTACGAATCGGAGAAAATATCCAATTTCATTAGGTACAAGTCAGGTGATCGTGATTGCAGGAGAAACAAATGAACTTACAACACAAACGATAATAGGATTAGATCCTGGACATGACAACAAGTGTGTCCAACCAGGAGGTCGGAAGGAACCAAGCAAGATCACGTTTGAAGTGAGAGCCTCCATTTCAACTACGGTGTTCAAAAAAAACGGAACTTTTGAAATAGCGAGCCAGCCGGCAGAGGTTGCGCGTTGTGGCTACTGAGCGCACGTAGAGGCATGTTTAGACAAGAAACTGCTATATGCCGCATTTCGTTCCAACCGTCAACATGCGAGCAGCAAGCAATGAAGTAAACGCTTGCACAAGCTGCTCGTTGGATTAGTGTCAAAGTAACAATGAAAGATCTTGAAGAACAAGGTGTGCGTAAGATTTTGATACAAACTGGGAAAAACGTCTACAGATATATTTCAGTTGTCTAACCAAGCATACGGGGAAGATTGTATGAGTCGCACGCAGTGCTACAGGTGGTTCAGGTGTTCTGAACACGGAAGAATTTCGGCCGGTGAGGATCCGAAGTCTGAACGACCTTCCACATCAACAGACGATGACCATGCAGACAGAGTTCGTGTTGCGAACCGTAGAAATTGTTGTTTAATTTTAAGGGAAGTTAACGACGAAGTGGGCATCAGCGCAGAATGATGTAATCAATTTTTGAGTGACAAACCTGAGAAGCGTCTTGTCAGTGTGAAATTCGTACCTCGTTCGTTGACTAACGATCAGAAGCAGAACCGTGTTGAAATCAGCCAGGGGCTGCTTGCCGCTGTCGAGGACAATGAAAACATCTAAGAATATGATAATAGGCACTAAGACGTAGATTTATAGTTATGATATTGAAACGAAGGTAGAGTTACCGCACACACGGGTCGGTCAAAGACCAAGGTGATGTTGTTTGTGTAGTCTGATTGTAAAGTCACTGTCCCTCAGTTAATTGTAGTAGGTAGCAAGATGGCAAACGAGGAAGTCTACCAGGGAATTCTGGCGCGTTTAACGGATGCTATGTGTAGGAATAAACTTGGACTGTGCGAAAACCAGACTTGGATGCTGCGTCCTGGTGATGCGCCGACACACGCCTCGCTGCTTGCCAGCAGCTATCTAGTAAAAACTAAACTTGTGTTTGTCCCATCCGCTGCATTCTCAGGAATTAGCCCCAGTAGACATCTCCCTGTTTCCCGAACTTAAAACAGTTGAAAAAACATGGTTTCCAAAGTACAGAGAAGATACAGGACAATGGGATAACAGACCTGTCTGCCAGTTTAGAAAGTGCACTCCAGGAGGCTGTTAAGAACGTTGTATCAAAAGTAGAGGGAACTATTCTGAAGGGAATAGGGCTTAGAGATTAGACGGCAGGTAATAAGGATATTACAGCAAAAATTCGATTTCTTTTTGGGTACACTTCGCATTGACTAAGCCATCAGCTGCCTCCCCTCCTCTTCCTACGCACATCGAATGTGCAAATAAAACACTTCGCAGGAGGTAGCATGTTGGTATGTGCAACACATGACCAGTCATCGGAGCCAGTTAAGCGAAATAACAATGCCGAGTGGTCTACATTTCCTTCCTGCGCCATAAAGGAGAGGGTGTACGCGATCATTTGCCACATGGTGTTACCACCGGATAGTATGGGGTAAACTGCGATGGAACTAGTGGTCGAACACAACTACGCTCCTTACATCTGTCGATGATGGATTATGTTTTTCGACTGTGCACTAGCGTAAAACGGATAGTAAAACGGTAGACTTCAACCTTCTGATCGAAATTAATGTTGTGCCTGTGCCCCAAGTGGCGAATATTAGCAAAAGCAACACGAGTGTCGTTATACGATTTGTGACCGTCCATATTCTGCAAGCTGTATTGAGGATATCTTCATCCTACGACAGCTGCTGGAGCCACGTGTTCCTAAACGCAAAAGGTGGTGTCGATTAGGTGGATCAGTGTCCTCCTTGGGACCATCTGATTGGGGCAGGTGATGCGTGCCATCTCACAGAATGTTAAGCAGCGTCAGTGCTATAGACCGCATGCGAGGAACAACAGTGGCGCAGTTAACAATGTTGCTTCATCGGTTTCATAAATGTAATCACTAACTGTCTAAATCGAACAATTTCACCTGCTTTTTACTCCTGTCCCTCTTTAGCTGCATTCTACCTCACGTTTACCATCAGTGTTAATCATTATTACCATCAATGCCACGGTAAAGTGAGTCGTAGTGACTAGATCCCCCGCACTTCAGTGATTAAATCAAGGCAGTTTAAATCAACTGAAGTGAACAACTCATGTCATGTAGTAGAAAAGGGACAGCACACGTTGTGGTGAAAAGTAACTACCGGTCAGAAGTAGAACTGACTGAGTTGTAATTCACGACCGATGTATGAGTTCATCGAACAAGCGACCCACCTGGACGACTAAGCATCCTTGCGGAGTCCACATAAAAAAACAATCCGACGCTGTGCACAGAGCAAGTCGAGCAGGTGAGGAGGAGTCCCAGGCGAGCGAACGCACTGGTCCGCTTGTATGTACCAATAAACTGAATAAGCTGATTCTGTGATCGATGGACCACAGCCAAACGACATGCGGAGCGTTGTCATTGCGAGTGGCCAAATAGCGTCCATCGGAAGAAAAGGCGACCAATCCGATACCGACCTGGCGTGACAAAAATGCGGATAACAAATGGAACAACGAAAAGCAGATTTACGGATGTGCTAACTGTCGAGGTGCGTTCAATGAGGCTGAAGGCCAATCGCCGAAGTGTGGAACCGCTAGTAGAACAAAACTAACAAGGGTGCAAAACAGAAGCAGGATCTTGGAAAAAAGTAATTACCTCGCAAGTCCTCAAGCAGGTACAAAAAGAGTAGATGGCAAAAATAACTAAATGGTAATGACTTTTACATGAAAAATACTGTGATTCTTAAATCACGGTGGCTGAGTTGGCATCAATGAGTTCCATGAGTATGCAGTTAAAAGACGTAATAGTTACGTGCAGAAAATAAGCCACCAATGATCCGACCAGTGTAACATGGGGATCTTTCGACCGGAAATGCAAATGACGTTGGACATGGTGTGAGAACGCTGTTGATAAGTTCCATTTAGCAAAATAAACTGACACTTATTTCAGCGAAGCGCAAACATCTCGCTTAAGCAGGTAAGCAATCGACTGCAAGGTCAACACTATCGTGGGGAATCAGCACAAGATATCGCATCATTGCTATCAGATCAGTAGAATATAAGAATCGAGAGGACGCTAATGTGAGGAGTAAGACGGTAGGTGTACGGTAGAACAGAGCACGGGCAAGGCGCATCATGCAAGTAATGTGAGATGCTCCCGTACCCAACTTCGCAATCAACGGCTGGTTTCGTACCTACTTGTGATGACAGAAAAATGACATTTGAAGCGCAGAAATTGCTGTTTGACACGTTTACTTCTATGTAATCGAAATCAGGTGGTTACGAGACTGGGACTTAATGTGTTGCGATGGTTGACGTGAGTAATACGTTCAACGTGATTTCAGAGCTACTCTTGTCGAACAGGTCGATTAATAAGCGCCAAATCAAGTAAGCCACGGTATCCTCCGCTTGAGAGACGTCGATGGACCTCATCCCACAAAAAGTAAACGTAAGAGCCAACAGGATAAAGGCGCAGAACACGAGCGCCACGCATTGTTTCTGATGATGGGAGAGCAGCACCGTTGTACAATGGATTGTTACGACTCGTCTGAAACAGAGGAGCTTCTGGTTTAAAGGTGCCGTAGTGGCAGGTGAGTAATCTTCTGAAATGTAAAACATGCGAGCGCTTGTGTTGCACTAAAAGCTACGATGACAAATCTCAAACATATCAGAATGGGACCCTACAATCACACTAAACAGTTGGTCTCGCTACGCAATGCCTGTGGGCCAGGCTGCTGAATAAGTAGCTAGTGAGGTAACTCGATAATAATCCTTCTCATGAAATAGATAGCCAGAAATAATTACTCAAAAACAGAACTCGTCACCTATCCTCTTTCTTGTTGTCTTTCAATTACAACTTTCTTGTGTCAACGGTAAGGAGTAAAAGATTGACACGCTGGCTTCGCAACTTATGTTTACGATTCAGTTGATTCGCCTTTCAATGCATGAATTTAAGGTCCAGTCGGTGAAAAGGCAGTGCCAACCCATACCCTTAAATCCCTTGAAGCTGATGTATGCGGCGTTTGTCTGCAATACGCCCCTAAGGTAGTAGCATCGCAATGAGTTCGAGTAATTAGCACCGAATCTATCAATAAGAAAAACTTAGCTTAAGGGCATCCATTATCACAAGAGGACCCGCTTGTTCGCGTCGATACCACAAAATTGACCCAGATTACGCTAACCTCTCAAGGAGCGATGGTGGCTGAAAAAACGCAATCGTGTACAGTTTAAAAGTGGCCCTTTGTCCATATATAACGAACTTTTGACCGCGCCCCAGACTTCTTTTTTCATACTTGGAGGGCCACACTCAACAGTCGCAATTCGCAAAGCCGCGATATCTACCTGAACTGCAGTGTGCGACATCAACGAGAACAATGGAGTACGTTGAGATTGCTTTGTCTTTCAATATTTCTCAATCTTGTGATAAAAGTGACGACAAATAATTCATCTGCTTCAGAATTTTTCCATTTATCCCTATACTTCAACACCTTCATGCGGCGATTCCGATTGTCACATATTCCTATTGAATAGTTATCATTACTTTGGCGGTGTGTGTCAAACAAAATAGATTCACAGCACGAAGAACGGGTCTTAGTCTATCAAGTTAACTGAACCTGGATGTCCTGAGCAGTAACTAGGTATGACCAGGAACGTGAAGGACATAGTCATCATACGTAGAGTAGCCGACGCATCGTTAGGAGATGAGGGACAAGCCAGTTTCAAACACAAACCGTGGTCAATGTAGAACACTAGCTGAAATGGCATCCTGAATTTGAACGATGCTCGAGTTGTCAGATGTATCCGCTTGTTGATTAGTTGGAAAAGCCTTGTGAAACGAAATTGATGGTGCAAGAATCAAACGAAAAAAATTACATTTGGTTTTGTACAGCTGTCCTGTAATTTCAGCTTGAATTACCTCTGTACATTACGATCAGACCAGCTTTGCTGGGCTGTGTCTTAGCTAGTTGAGAATACACCAAATAGTATCATTAATAAGAGACTGGAAGCATTGCATTGTGGAGTATGTGAGTACCAGTTAAACGTTTGCAGTGAGGGAGAATTGATGTGAAAATCAGTGGCGAAGATACCTTGGTAAATGACACTTTCCGTAAGTAATTCAGAGAACACAGTTCAAGTGTCACAACTCATAAACCAGACCCACAAGCCAGTAATATGAACGGGAACATGATTCCAGTGCTATTCGGAGTCTTCGACCTACCAGGTTGACTTAAAAGGCAACGGGGAACAGGTTTAGCTCTAAAGTGTAACTGCATACCTCAAAAGGGACTGGGAATGGGTGACATCACAGCTTTGTGGTGGGAGTCAAAAAATAAGAGATCCGACCTGCGATCAATCATCTGCTGAGTTTTTGAACTTTCGGAGCCAATACATAGAGGGAAAACAAACTCGGTCATCCAGCCCACTAAGTTGGGGGTTGGAACAATGGAGGCGCTTTATATCACAAAACAGACAACCTCTAGCCCACAGTATTGCGGTTAGGTTTCTGAACTAAAAGCTTTGACCGAGAACCCTAACCGTTTTCCCTTCGAGATCTAGGTAGCCTGACAGCATCGGTCTTGGGCACATAACAATAACTTCGAACAATTACATGGTCCTCTGGCTTCTGCAGAGGAGAATCCAAAGCGCCCTGCAACGGTGTGTTGTAGGTACGATCCATGAGCTCGTAGTCTGCAGGATGCTCAGAGGCGCAGTGAAATACATTAATTATGTACGAATCGTTGACAAAATCCAGTTGCTTTATACGAGCACAAACGAAGACAGTCTTTTCGACAGCTCAGATAGGAGTTTGTAAGTGAGCAAGCATGGATATTATTTCGGGTGTATGTAAGGCATCTGCCATGATTATTAGCTGGAAAGCTACAGTGGGTGTTTTATCCTGCAATCTGGTAGGCAGCAGATGGTGTATTTTCGTTTAACCATTTCTCAGCGACCAAGATAATGTGCGAGGGGATGTGAAGGATGTGAATTTTATTCAAAAGTGAGCAAGCGCAAGAAACAAGAGCGTAAATATTGTGTGGTTTGTTTAAAACCTCACTAAATATAGAGGGTAGGGGAAGGGTGGGCTGACCACGGGGTAGCGTCAACATAAGGGGCAGTTTGGAGGCTGTAAGCCAAACGTAGTAACTCATGGGATATCCTCAGCTGATTTGGTGGCAGTGAGAGCGGTGATAGCTGAGGGATCACTGTTGACGGGAAAATGGGTACTGCAAGTAGTGAAGGGGAAGTCATTAAGAAGTGGACCCAACATCCACCAGAATGGACTAGTAACAAGCTGTACCACTATACTCTGATGGCTGATCGGTATACTAGCGCATAGCACTTCTGCTGTATTCGCAGGTCTACACTGCCTTCCGACGGTCATAAACATAAGTAAGGCATATTGCCACTGACTTGCTAGCAAATAACAAAAAGTGCCATACTTGAATGACCCGCATGACAGATCGGGCGGAGGTTTTATCGACCGTAATGCATGCATAAAACAATCCTAATAAAAACATTTGTGAAACAGTTGATGGCGTACATGCTATTTTGCCGCACTTGCACACAGCCAGTTAGGGCATGGAAGCGTGGGAGAAACCCATCGAGGGAATACCCCCAGGGTACCCCCTGGGGACGGTTCCATAGATGTCTGTATTACTTTACTTGAATTCGGCTAAACCTGTATTTGTAATGGTTCCCAGTTTCTTTATCCCTCTGATACCTTCAATTTGCCAATCACTAAAAAAACCCATTTTGGATCCGGTGTGCAAAACATGAACATTCAACTATTTTATGCGATCTCCTTAGACAGATTGATCACGGCACTCGTAGAGCATTAAACAGTTTATTTATTCATTAGATTAGTTAGTAACAAGAACACATGGCATAATGTTGAATACTGCCTCTTGAATAAGTCAGGTTCTAACAATGTGATACCAACTCTCCTAGACGGATGAACGAACGAGACTCAGAATTATTTCTCGCACAGCACAGTAACTGACAAATCTCGAAGTCTGTGGGTTCTCGGAACTTAGCCGCGAAAGATTTAATTCACGCGAGTCGAACGGGTTCCTAGACCTAACGCGAAGTTTCTACGCACGATTTCCCAACCCAAGACTGAATCAAGAACAAGACAGGCCTTTTGCCACAGGCTCTTTTACTGGCCAAAGCTAAGGCGATTTTAGCGTTGTACAGCCTCACTTTTATATCACGAAACGGTGAAGGGGGGTTTTCCCTTGGAAAGGTTTGCGTAAGCAAACCCTGGAAACAAGGAATATGGTTTTATGAAAATGTGCAAAGTCCGTAAACTGAGCAGGAATGTTGGAAGTTTGGCGAGAGTTGTCCGGAAAATAAATGTTGCTTGGATACCACAATGAGTGTTTGGTTGGAAACGAGACTGTTTCTGGGTGCAAAGGCTAAACGAATGTGAATGTTTCACGAGTTGGAAGGCTGATTGAACGTGTGCGTTTTGTCTGATC